ATTGATAACCTTGTCAACAACTGTTGCTCTGACTGAGACGCCTCCTGTAATGGGGGGGGATGAAACATGGTAATTACTGCCTGCAACATCCTCTGGCTAACCACTGGCCAGAGGGCTCCAGACGGTAAACCCTGTTGCAACACCATTCTTAAACTTGGGCAATTGTTAAGAATACCGTATAATTGCTCATACGATTTGATCCAGAAATCCTCCGACGTTGTTTCAAATTTTATTTTTAACTGTCGGAGCAACCAATCAGTAAGTTGGGAAATTTTGTCAGACACAGGAATCTGAGGTTGATCATTCCCCCTAGTAGGTTCAGGGGCGTCAACCATCTGAGTATCCACCGGAACCTGCTGGTCCACCTCCATCGGGGCCAGACCAAATGCGTCCCTGAAGGGATCTGAGGAATCCGCCACCTCTGCTCCTTCTACCGGCACGAGTGGGACTGTGGCAGAGGATTCCTTCTTTTTATCTGATCCCTGTTCTTCTTCAATGCCTTTTGTTCCTTTCCATTTCAAAGGTGTCTCTCGGTGTCTCATTGGAACTCCCTTACTCACGATTAGCTTTTTTTTTTTTTTTGTTTCCTTCTCTTCCTCCTTACTAAAGGTTGATCCTGCTCCATCTCCTGACTTGGTTTCTCATCCATTTCCTGCGCCTGAGAAGTGTCCTGGGGATTAACCTCCTTTGGAATAGTTGAGCCCTCCACCCCTTCCCCTTCATTGGGTGGAAGAGGTTGCATGTAGTTCTTGGGATCCGGACCAAGCGAACCACTACTAGGAATGCTCCCTGATTTTTCCATTGCATGTGAAGGTCCAAGTACATTAAAATTAGCTTCCTGCACATCTAGGTCAGGACGTGGGCCAAAAACCATTCCCCCATCTTTCTCTGGACTATCTTCTACGTGTGTTCCCTGAGGATGTGGGTGTTGAGGAAGTGGAGGCGAGGAGGCCGAAGGAATCCATCCCTGTGGAGGTCTAGACTCCCAATTTGGCTCACCTTGGCGTTCCCATGTCCATCCTCTGGATCCCTGCCCCTTGCCTGATCCTCCCACATACACCCACCCCTCATGACCCGGGTCAACCGTTCTCCACAGATTAGCTTTGAACGGGTCCCTGATCAACCTCCCTGTCGCTCTTTGTTTGCAAGAGGCGTTATGTGCGCAGGAGGAATCCAGAGGGAGATGACCATAGGCTTTGCAGCGAAAGCACCAGGGACGCAGCTTGTGGGATGTGTGTATGTGATATTCTTGTCCCCCTACTCGGTAAGGGATCACATCATCTATGTTGAAAGGCACATTGGACGGATGATTAAGAGCCAACATTAGATGATCATCCCTTCAGGCTGCATACGCTGAAAGTGGATCAATGAAATCAACTATATCATGAACCTCCCCAAAATCATATAAAAAGGCTGCCTGAATTTCTATCGGGATGTGGCGGAATTCTACCCAATAATGTTCTTCCATCATCTGCCTACGTCTTTCATCAGGCCCCCGTTTTTGGGGAGACCATGGATATATACGGACCTCGCAACTTTTTCCATCCATCAATCATTTTTTTGTCCATAATATGTACACTCAAAACCGTGAAGGTAGTCGAAGAGATTGGTTGAATTAGAAAATCTTCATTAACTACCTCTTGACTGCCTTTCAAATGCGTGAGGCGTTTACAAATCCATTTTATTTTTTCATTCGTGGATTTGTACCCCGCATCATCGTGAAAGACCTAGTTGTTTGCATGCGATTGATAAATAAAATCTCTCTCTGCAACTTTCTGGGTCGGGTACGTTTTGATCATTGATTTTCCCCCCCCATTATCAACAACTTCGCTTCCTGAGGGACTGATAAATTTAGAGAGGAAAAATGCACGAGCAGTCGGAATATTAGTGAGAGGAATGAGCAGGGGCTAAGCCTGAGGGCCAGGTCTTTTAACTTCAAGCACTCTTGATTGGAACGGACCTTTGGCCTTTTGTAGCCATGATATCAACGGTTGAGCTGTCTCCCTTTCTGATTCCCTGCCCACGACTTCCTCCCTCCTTTCTGCAATCTCCTCTCTCTGCATTCCTTCCCTTCTTTCCACTGAACTCTCCCCTTCTTCCCTCCCTCCCCTTCCTTCATTGCCCCTCCTTTCCCCCTCACCCCCCCCCCCCCCCCCCTCCCCATTGTCCCCCTCTGTCCTTTCTCCTCCCCCCCCTTTTCCCACCCCTTATTACGGTACTTTGTAAAGGAGGAAATTCCCCGTCATCCCCCCCCACCTATGATTTTTCCTTTAATGATCTTTGTGACTGACCCGAGACATTTGCACCATCTTGAGACTGTAAACTTTGAACTCCCTGTTCCTCGGCAAGAGTGTTCATCACACTGAAATTTGTGTCTGCAGATTGATGAGACACATTTCCGTTGCTGACCTGTACTTCTGATTGTGGTAATGCCTGAAGTTTTTATCCCCTTGCTCAGGCTGAAGTCAGTGAAAGCTCCCTCCCACTTACCCCATTAACCCCTATCGCCAGGTAAGGAAGATGTAGCGCTGCCGTTTCTTCCGCGAAGAGAGGATTGAGCATCATCCTTCTACCCAATCCCAGCCCTGCCACACTTCCTTGACCCACATTGGAGGCCAGGAGAGAGGTTAGTGGAGAGCATCGAATACTATGATTTTCCCCTCTCCCCCCAGACGAGGCTACCCGACGATCCGTCAATGCGAGAGAGCGACATTTTTGTTGTTGTTTCTCTTCCTCTGTTAGAACTTCATCATCTGAGAATACATAAGAAGAGGATTCGAAAAGCTGGTTTTCCATATGATTCTGCAATGTCACTTTCACTGGTGTCTGCAATTGTTTTGTTGCTAAATGACGCATTGCTCCACGAAAGACCAGCGTGGAGTCCACCTGCTTATGAACACGCTGATGACGTAGTATCCGAGTCATTATTTCTCGTGTTGAAATTACCCGGTTCAGCAAAGAAAAATCCAAAATTAAATTAAACCTTCGTTATAAAAATTGTTGGACAAGGCTGGTGGGGGTGAGGAGGCAGAGTATTGAGAAAGTGACAACAAAATGGGTAGGGTGAGAAGGGTAGAGCTGGAAGCACTTCACTGTGAAAGCTCAGTTTGACCTCCTTTGACAAAACTTCGTAGGTCTTCTCCAGTTGTTCGCCACGATTGCTCCTCCYTTCRCCTATCACCGCATGCAATTGTCTCTCCCTCTGACTCAACCTATTCTCCCTCCGAACCCTCCTCACCTCATCCCTCCCTGCTGTATCATAATGCCACGCTGCCGTCTAATCTTCCTCTTACTAGACAGCAGTGTGATAAGACAATAAGAACAAAATTTGTGGAATATTTCTAGAGACTCCCATAATCCTACACAGAAATAAATATGCTCTTCCACGTGATCCACCGTGACACGGCTGACTGCGCTAGATGCTTGGAATATCCCTAGAAACTCCCACAAAAATGAGCGTACAATCGTGTCACTTCCCTTGTTTACTACACGCCTTGTAGCTATGATTGCACGAGTTGCATGACTATCCTCCACAGAAGAGATTGTCAATACACATTGGAAATCCGCCTGATAGCTATGGTTGTGCGATTTGCATGACTATCCTCCACAAAAGAGAATGACAATCCGCTTTGTAGCTATGGCTGCGCGAGTTGCACGCCTAAGAACAATGAATTGTGTCTGACGCGTCCTTTCCCTTCATCCGCCGCCTACCCTACACTCCTCCACGTGTATGTGACGTGGGACGTCACCTACAACACGTCGGTCCAACCACCAGCCTAATGGCTATGGCAGCCAGTCTCGCCGTTGACCTCGCAAGCCTGCTGCGACGATCGGGCGCGAGCAGCGCATTCCTCCGTCTTCCAATGCATGTCATCTTGGTCCACTTGGGTTAAGTATGGTATTGTGAGAATAAAAGATTTATGGAATCTGGTTAGCAAAAATAGGAAATCGGTGTAGCAACTTGGGAAAGAAGTTAAGTATGCTTATAACTTACTTGCCAATCTTGATCAAATCATCCCCTCCATTCCGCTGGCCTGGATGGTCGCATTGAAGAAGGGTCCAGTCTTCCTGGAAGCCGACTGGGTATGCGGCCACCAGCTTGATGGAACCAAAGTAGTGGGACAGGTTTTGGATAGTCACCCAGATGGGGCTTTAGTTAATCTGTTTCTGCTTCACCGGGACCACTCTCTTGCACAAACAAGTCAGGATAATGTCTCCTTTTTTTCTTTCAATTCTCTTTACAGGATCACGGTATTGTATTGTTCATCCTCTAAGGGATGGAAATTATCTTCTCTACAACTCCCTATTCCTGAGCTTCCCTTGGACCCGCAGTCTGGGTCTGGAGAACCACTATAAGATGTAAGCCACAGAAGCTACAGTCTTTGTCAGTTACGTCATCCTATCGTCGTTTGCGGCCCCGGGTGGATGTACCTGCTATAATGCACGAGTGCTGGGCTTGTCATCTTAATATTTACATGGATTTGCTTAAACCAGTTTGGTGGTGTCAGGGATTTAAGGAAAGACCGGCAAAATTTGTGTTGTTGCAATGGCAAATTTCACATTGTTGCTTACCGACGAATTGTTTTCTGATCCCTGGTGGATCTACAATGGTATGGGGGAAAGGGGGGGGGGAGATCGAGTGTGCAGATCCAGGGTGTTGCTGCTAGGTTTAAGGTGGTATCTGGAGGACTATTTACGTGGGAAGAGGCAGCACATACCTCATGTTCGCTATTATGTTCTTTTCGATGATTCTGGACCCGTTTTCCAGCAGGTGCTACTCCCCACCAATAGACTGGAGTCACTCGCTGTGCTGTTAGGGGTGGGTGCTCTTATCATCACCTCTAACAGGGGCAGCGGGTGCTGTTAAAAAAAAGAAAAAAAGAAAAAAGGAGAAAGACATACATACATAGAACTGATTGTGTGTGTGTGTGTGTGTGTGTGTGTGTGTGTGTGTGTGTGTGTGTGTGTGTGTGTGTGTGTGTGGGCCGGACTGTGACCAGTGGAGATGGAAAGACGGACTGGAAACATATGGCGCAGTCACTGTCGGAATTTTCCATGGGCAAACAAGGCTCTTCTCGACTCGTCATCATCCCCAAAGAAAAGGTGGAGAGTGCAAGAATTAAGCATATAGTAAAAACCCATCATGCTGAAGGGGGGAAGACGTGGAGGTGAAATAGCATATCGTCAAAAACTACCATGCTGAAGGTGGAAAGACGTGGAGGTGAAATTCCACACTTGTTCAAACCAGCCACGTGAGCAAATCCAATGTGAACAGAGTTAGACAGTGAGTGGGCAGAGGGTGCCGCCACATACCGGGTCATGAGAGCGCAGGAAGGAATCCCTCTTTGAATGGTGCATCCTACGTTATGGTGGTATTATTCAACAGTGTGTGTGTGGATGCAAGGAGGAGGGCTGTGTTTTTTTTTTTTTTTTTTTTAAGCTGGATGGTTCCCCAGGGGTTGATATGAGCAGCCTCCTGTGATACCGTCCCTGTTGGCTCCAATCTATTGGTGGGAAGCAGCGCCTGCTGGAAACCGGGTCCAGCATCCCTTACAAAACAGTTTGCTTATGATGAAGACAGAGATAGCACTGTGATCCTGCGAAAGCTTGGGAGAAGGGAGAGGCCCCCGGGCCGACTCGGGGGCCAGATTGCAGAAAGACTCTATTGACTAAACCATGCAGGCTCGACCAGGGTGCCTTGGGTGGGGGGAATGGATCAGGAAAAATCTCTGCAGGGCATCGGGGTGTGAAGCTCAGTCGGTAGTCCTTCGGGCAGGGGATCTGCAAATCTTCATGTTGCCACTCACTCCATTCTACCCTTGCTAGCCTCCCCCCCTGTGAGCCATTCCTTGCAGAACTCAGAGATACTGTTAGTCAGGTCGGCTTTCTTGGATAAGTATAGGAGCTTGGTTAAGGTTTTGGCCCATTGGGCTCTGATCCCGGTTTCAATCTCCCCGCTGATCATGTCGGGCATTTCTCCTTCCTGCTCGTGTGCCCCCTCTATGGCTGTGGCGCATCGTCTCCGCCACAGTGCCCACATGACTGCCCTTCTCCCCAGCTCAAATAAATTCCTTGTGTACTCAGCTGTCTGGGCGGTCCAATGACCGCACAGCGGTGCTCACCATTCCCAGGGCCATTCGTGCTCTGTTCCGAGTTGCTCCTAAATCCAGACCCACCATCGCCACGTGAGGACTGCTCTGGGACACTTCATAAAGACGTGTTCCATGGACTCATTTATCTTCCGGGAGGGTAAGCCTTCCAATCAGGTGGTGCACCACGGGAGGGCCACCCCCTTCTCCTCAATGTGGGTGTGCTCTATGAGCCAGGCATTTGTGGGCAGGCATCGGAGCACTGTCTTCCACTGCAGGCAGGCCAGGTTTGCTGGCTTTGTCTTAGCTGCCTGGAACCACTTGATCGGTTTCAACATTTCTTGTGGCACTTTTAAGCATCTCGCCCAGCTGCCCTGCATTCTGTCTGTCAGGTTGATCTTAGTTCTCAGTGGCGGTAGCAGGACTTAACGCTGAGCGAGTGGAGGTGCAAGGTTTTGACCTGCGGAGGAGGAGGAGGAGGGCTGTTTATGCTCTTCACTGTCACTGAAAAGTTCTGGAAACCTCCCTTGCTCCATCTTGACCACCTTCCCTCTCTCTAGGTCACCAACCCCTATACTACCAAACACCGAGAACTAATATAATTACATGGGAAATTTATGGTCACCCCAAAGAAAAAGAAACAGTGTGGAGCATTTGCCAGGAAAGATGCCATCATGACTAACCCAGAGAAGCATGGATCAAGCGAGAGTGTGGGCATCAACCAAGGCCATGATGGAAATGCAGCTGAGGGGAAGGCAGAAAAGACATGCTTTCTAGGGAGGTTTCAAGAGAGCTACGGAGGGAGCAGGGAGGGAGGAAGGTGGGGGGGAGGGACGAAGGGGGGGGGGAGGGAGGAACAAGAGGGGGAAGGGAGGAAGAGGGGGGGGGAGGAAGGAGACGAGGGTGTATTTCTGGAGTGAAATGAGAAGTTATGTGAGTGGTAGTAAGGGCCATACGGGGATGACTGTGAGACCCAGGCTAAACGGTTAAAGGTCTGTTCGACTCTGTTGGGAAGTGAGATCTATCATTTGATGTGCCTGTTTCGGCTTACAGTGGAATAAGAACTGAACTGACAATCAGAAGCAATAAGGGAGGAAAGAAAAAAGGACCGGACTGATAAATCCAAAGTTTGGAGGGTATCATTGCAAGAGCAGACGTATAGGCTGCCAAGGATTAAAAAAAACACAGAGCCTGATGTAGGCAACCAACCAGCACATACCCTTTGTCTTCACAGCTGAAAGGCTAGTAGAAGCATCATCGCTGACTGCTGAAAGGTAGCTGTCGTGGGTCCAGAAGCCGACCTCTGCAACACCCTGGACTTTCTAAAGGAAACAAAAAGGAAAAAAAAAGAAACAGCATAATTGATCTCTTTTTTGTGAGGTACAGGATCTCCTATGTGTTGTGTGAACTTGTATCCTTTGCGTTTTCCCAAAAAGAAAAAGAGGGTAGCCCCTAACATTAGTGCATGCATTCCATTACATCGGGGTACAAACTCAATCTGTTTATTAACAGTGACATCAACTTACATGGGTATACCATTCATCCTTCTTTTCCATCTGTTCGTCCCTTCAGTCCCTCGTGAAAACGGGTGAAGACACGCGGGATGATTACTAGGTCGGTTCGGTTGTCGTTTGTTCTCAGCTCTCGGCTGCTGCTCTTCTCCTCTTGGAAGCTTGTCTTTGCTGTGGTCCTCTTGTTGTCTCTTGCGGGCGGTAAGGGTGGATGCAGAGGTGAACTTCAGTTCTTACCTTCTGTGCAATAAATAATAAATAAATAAATAGATAAATAAACAAGGGGGTGGAGAGGAGTGAAGAGAAACTAAGTTTTGGAGTTTTTCAAAAATTTCGGCAGCATTTCGTTACCCCCATGGGGTCGAAGTGTGCCGTCAAGAAAAAGACTACGAAGTGTGCCGTCAAGAAAAAGACTAAGTAAAATGGGAAAATTTGGCCAGCGCTTCGCTACCCCCAAGGGGTCAAAATGTGCGGTAAGAAGAAAGTAGGGAGGAGCAACAAAATTTCGGCAGCACTTCGTTACCCCCAAGGGGTCAAAATATGTGCCGACAACAGAAAAGACTAAGTCCTAGCAAGATATAGAGGTGCTGCAAAAAAAAATAAAAAAAATAAAAATAAAATCTAATTTTCAGAATAAATAAAATAAAAATAAAAATAAATCAGAAGATGAGAATAGAAGTAAGGAATAAGATGATTCAAATTTTTGGAGGAAAAGAGAAAATTTAAATCAAAGAGAGAGAAAAGAAGAAAAACAGAAAATTCAAAGTTGGGTGAGGGGGGGATGGAAAAGTGATGAAGAAAGAGAGAAATAAGTGAGAAGAGAAAGAAAAAGTAAAGTGGGAGAGTTTGATCAGGCACAAAGTACAGGCCCATGGGTTGGAGCCATTGTGATAGGAACCCTTGAGCGCCCTGAACAACTCTTCGAGCCTTGTGAAGAACAACGAAATCATCGGCGTATCTTACTAGGATAACTCGGCCTTCGGCCGCCTGTTGCTGAGCCCACTCATTCAAAGCATTCTCCATTCCGTGCAAAGCAATGTTGGCCAGTAAATGCGATATAACTTGAGGCTCGCCAGAGTTATATATAGTTATAGGCGGCCGAAGGCCGAAACCAGTCATAATGTCTGCTTTCAACCAGGCCTTAATCTGGCGGGTGCACGTGAAAGTAAGCGCGCTTGGGTTGCTGTGACCGTAGCGCGAAAATTAGCGGACAATCGCAACACTCACCAGAACGGCGCCGACGCAAAATTTCCGGGTGCTGTCTCGATCTTGCCAAAGCTCAACTCCTTTTCCTCTCGCTCTCCTTTTCCTCTCCATCAAAGCACTTCACCTATTACACTTGGTTGGCTGGAACATCAAACGGTTATCAAAGACTTCTTTGACCATCACCCAACATTTGTCTTGAAGGAATCCATTGCCCACTGTGACCTACACCGACTCACTGATCTCCCTTACAAAGTTGTTCGTAGTGCCAGGATCTGCAGAGTTTGTCCTCAAGGAATCCGTTGCCCACTGTAACCTGCACCAACTCGCAGATCTCCCTTGCAGAGTTGTCGTAGTGCCAAGACCTGCACAGTTTGTGAAACCAGGATATCGTGCGGGTTCCTGAAAGGCCCGTTGTAATTAATCTGACAAACCTAGTTTTGTAGAGCCCCAACTCTGTTCTCTTCTCGTACTTACTCGTGACATGCTGCCCATTGGAGGGCAACAAGACAGTGGATGATCGTACTGAAAACAGTCAGCATCCTTCCCATCCCATCCTCGAGTGCAGATGTATGCTCATTCACTTTGATGAATCCCCTTTCATACATTGGTTCGTACACCCGTGTTCTCTCCGGAGAAGTCTGGAATCATGGAGTTATTCAGTAACCCTTTTTTTCTTTTTTCTTTTTAAACAGGCCCTTATGGTCCTGGCTCCATTTCCATTATGGGGAGCGTCAGTCCGGTTCCTATTCCACCGGCAAGTCAAAATTTGATACATCATAGAACACGCTCACGCTTCCTTCCGTCTGGCCGAAGGAACCCTGACCAGCATTGATTGCTCCTTATAGGAGGATTGACTGTCAGTTTGCCTTTCCCTGTTCTCCCTCTCAGCTTCCCCCTTTCTTTTTTTTTTTGCCATTGTCCCTCTCTTTCCTCTCAGACCCGGTTTCCGGATCTGTTAGATAATGCCTTTGACCCTAGAAAGAGCGACTCTATTGTCCTTACCCAACCTGATCCCTCCCCATACACCTCTTTGCCCCCCTTTGGATGGTCAACCGTTTATCCTTAAACCCTAAACCCTCAGTCGGCGTTCCTATCCTCCGATCATCAAACTTGGAACCTGGCAGGGTGTTCGTCAGCTTCCGGACCTCTGAAATAAGATCTTTCTTTGCAGCCCCCGTTCATGCTCCAGTATTATCATCTTCTCCCACTTGTCCTCCTTTTCCCCACGTTGTCTGTACCCCCTGGGTCACTTGAGGATTGTATTTATCCCCTTGTGGCCTAAGATGTGGTTATGCCTTGAACTCATTAGGAAAGTGACCCTATGAGTCATATAGAAGGAGAGATGCAGCAGAACAATTGAAGGACGGTCCAATCCACGAAAGAAGGTGTGGATAGAACATTGATTCAAGCTGAGATCAAATGGCGGAAGATCAAACAAGCCTGGACAGAAG